TGTGTGTGTGTGTGTGTGTGTGTGTGTGTGTGTGTGTGTGTGTGTGTGTGTGTGTGTGTGTGTGTGTGTGTGTGTGTGTGTCTGTTGTCATAGTGTTCACTGTGGTGTGCTGTGAGGCCTGAGCTGCTGGGATAAATAAAATAAATAAAGAAAAACGGACACCTCTCTACTAGGAGATGGGTAAAAAGGAACAGGTCCCCGCCCTTGCGATCTTTGTGCAGGGTTCTTTGTGGGTGTGGTCGGCGACTACGGACTAGCTGCTGGGATCCGGTCCACGACACAAGATATTTCGTTGCTGCATACCGCAATGTTCCCGCATATACGTAGAGTGTTTAGAGTTTACAATAACTGTGTGTATAGACTTTTTGGCAAGTAAGAACCCTGCACACCCACATATAATTTCGGGGGCTCTCACTCGCCGCTCGCGGCCTCCCCCAGCTGCAAGTCGACCACGAGCGGGAGGTGGTCCGAGACGAGCACCTCGCCGTGCACCCTGGCGGCCTCCATCGTGATGGTGGCGCCCGGCGGCGCGGTCTTCGCGGTGCCCGGCGCGCCGCCGCCGCGCAGCCAGCCGTAGTCTACCCGGTACAGCGGCTCCCTTGCGGGGGCGGTCAGCTGCACCTCCGACCCGGAGGCGACGGCGACGTCCTCAAACTTCGCGTCTCGCAGGATGGAGAGGTCGCCGTGCTGCGGCAGCTGCCACTTCCTCTCCCGCGCGCGCTCCTCGAGCCGTCGCCACGCGCCGTCGCTGTAGTCGGAGCGAGTCAGCGCGTTCAGGTCGCCCATGAGCAGCAGGGCACCGTCGCCGGCCTCTCGCACGATGTGCCGCAGCTGCGTCCTCCGCTGGGCGACGTCCATGTGGTCCAGATGCGTCACCGCCACACCGAGCGGCCGAAGGCCAGAAGGCAACTCCACGTCTGTGATCAGAAGGCCGCGCACGATGCGATGCGCCTCATTCTCCTTTGCGATCTCGCCGTTGAACTTGCGGGTGCCGGCGGGGAATCGGAACTCGGTCCCTCCCTCGAGATGGACCGCCTTTCGCCGGGACAGCGGGTAGCGCGAGAGGATGGCGTTCCCATAGGTGCCGCGCACGTGGCCAAAAAACTCGACAAACGGCAGCGAGAGTGCGGTCGACACGGACTCCAGGCACCCAGGCATGTGAGCGACATCCACCTCGTTCAGCGTGACAAGATCCGGGTGGAGAGCCGAGAGAGCAGCGCCCACCGCGCCGACGGTGGAGGAGCCGGCCGCCGAGGTGGAGGAGCCGGCCGCGACGTTGGCGAAGCGGTGGACGTTCAGGTGGATGACGCGGAGGAGCATATGTTTGCCACTCCTTTCTGCTATGGCCGCAACCGCTTTGCGAGGTGTGCAGAGGCACGTAGTGACGCAAGGGACGTAGTGGCGAGATTGGTGTTTTCTGGCGGCCGACCGTCAGTGCACGGAGTGCCTTCTCCGACTGCCCCGGCTAGGAATTCCCTAAAAGAACATCCTAGAGCTCTAGTTCCCGAGTGTTCTCTCGAGGTTCTCGAGGTGGATATCCTTTGGCCGCGTTGGGTAGCGAGGATTGGTGTGACGCGATCCACGCAGGCGTGTTTTCTGACGGCCGACCGTCAGTGCACGGAGTTGCCCCTTCTCCGACTGCCCCGGCTAGTTCCCGAGTTTCGCGGGAGTGACCGAGTGTTCGCGGGGCTGACCCCTGCGTCAAACCCGAGACCTAGCGCGGACCAGGATCGCTCTACTGGCAAAGTTCTGGCTGACACGCGCGCCCGGTCGAGCCTTTGGCGGGCGCGCTGCGGTCGCACGCCTACCCAAGTCATCTGCCACGGCGTGCGATCTAGATTCAGCACACGCGCCTCTGCTCGCAACCACTCATCCAATGAACTGTCGTCACCCATGAGTGCGAGTTAGGGCTAGCGGCTGGCCAATAGGTTTGTGTCTGTGTGTCGCTCGTGCGTGTCGTCATCATCTGTCTTGCGTCCACCCATACCGCGTTGGTGTCCAGTCCGAGCCTGACTGTTCTTCACCTTATTACTACATACATACAGCGCGGGTGGGTTGGAGGGGGGCTCGCTGCAGGGAAGGGCTGTGTAAGAAGCCGATCCCCGTAGTCCGCCCCGCTCCTCCCCATCGGGCCGCGTGAGCGGCCACGCCTCGCAGATTCGTTTCTCGCGCCTGGGTCAGGCGCGCGGGGCATCCCCCGGGTCGCTCGACCAGCCAGCGATCCGAAGAGTGGCCGCTATGAGAAGGAAAGAGCGGGGCCCTCGGGGTACGCCTCGTCCGGCCCCCTCCGAGGGGGGAAGGGAATTGCGGGGTCCCCTCGGGCGCCTCAGTTCGGCCCTCCCGAGGGGGGGAGGGGAGCAAGGGGGTGGGGGGATCGGGGCGGGGGGGGAGGGGTCTCGGGTTTCGTGGGTCTAATACTTGCCCTTTCGGGGAGGGGCCTCAGGACGGCGAGCGCAGTGGCGCCCGCACGACGTCTTCCCCTCCTCCCTCGAGGCAGCGAGTAGGCAGCGAGAGGAGGTCTCAAGCGCCTATATGAAGGTATGTGAGATGGTGATGGGAATGGGTGAACAATAGGGCGGGCGGACGGGCGGGCAAGCGGGGAGAGGCGGGCGGGCGGGGCGGGGCGGGCGGGCGGGGTGATCGGAGAAGTCGTATCCACAATCCGCAGCAGCGGAGCAGCCGCAGCAGCAGCAGCTGCAGCAGCAGCAAGCTGCAACCTGCCGCAGATTGCTGCCGTTGTCAACGCCGCGATCCGCCGCCGCGCCGCCGCGCCGCCGCCGCCTGCGCTCGCCGCCGCCTCGTAGACGACTCCTCTCGCGCTCGGAGAGCCGCGCAGCGGGCCGCGAGGTTGTGGTCAGAGAGCACTTGCAGCAGGGTTGAGATCACAAAATCGGCCAATTTTGAGGTTGCTCGAGAGAGCCTGGAAATGGTCCCGCGCCGTAGCCCCGGTGCCGGCGCATCACGTCTCAGCCGCGGCCGCGGGGGGCCGGTTCTGCCGCGCAGTCGAGCAGCAGGAGCTCGGGGGCAACTTTGTCGACAAACATGTTCAGGAAAATTTCGGCGAAGAAGCGGCACTGGCGGCACGCCGGGACGAACCCGGACCGGTCATATTGTTCAGATCCACGGCGGCGAGCCGCCGCGAGCCCACCGGAGAGCTGGGAGCCGCGGCACTAGACCGCGCCGCCAGCGAGGCGAGAGCAGCAGCCGACGACCGGCGTGACATGGCAGTTAGAACGGCGGGATAATCTCTAAGCTCGGTACAACACAAATTCTTTTTCCGGTGTTAGTGCCAGTGCGCGCCAGTCCCGTGCCCAGTGTTGTGCGAGGGAGTTTTGTTGTAAAATTCTTTTTCCGTGCTAGAGCTCGCTCGTGCGTGTCGTCATCATCTGTCTAGCGTCCACCCATACATGTACCGCGTTGGTGTCCAGTGCGAGCCCCTGTGGCTGTTCTTCACCTTCCTACCTACCCTAAAAGCTCTAGTCCGCTTGCCCTTGTAAGAATTTTCTTTCGGTCTCACTGGGGGCGATGGCGGCGCCCTCGGACCCTGTGGTGGTAACAACAACTCGAAAGCTAATTCTTTGTCGTGAGAGAGGCTTGTATCCTAAGAATTCTTTGTCGTAGATGTGGACCGCTACGAGTGGCCAAAACCGCTAGGTGTAACAGCAGCAACAGCAGCAACCTCGGCTCCTGCGCTCCTCGCCGCCTTCCCTGCTCACTGCCCCGGCGCCCACGCCTCGACCTTCTTGGGCAGCAGCTCGTTCGACAGGTCGTCTCCGTGGCCTAGGCAGCCGCCGCCGCCCTCGCCCCACGAGAAGAAGGCGCCGTCGGCGGTGGTGGCGAGGCTGTGGCAGCCTCCAGCCGACACGGCGATGACGCGCTGGGTAGCAAAGGCCTCAAAGGCCTCGATCTTCTTGGGCAGCAACTGGGTCTGCCTGTCGCCGTGGCCCAGCAAGCCAACGCCTCCCATGCCCCAGCTCCAGACGGCGCCGTCGGCGGTGAGGGCGAGGCTCTGCACCATTCCAGCCGACACAGCGACGACACGCTGGTCAGCAAAGGCCTCGATCTTCTTGGGCAGCAGCTGGTCCTGCTCGTCGGTCGTCGCCCTGGCCCAACTTGCCGGCGCCTCCAAAGCCTCATCTCAATCATCCAGAGAGAGCAGAGTAGAGTATATATGTGTGAAGTGTGGGGAGGGGAGCTCGGTTTTTGAAACAATTCCTTGTGGAAAGAGGGACTCCAGGGGTAACTACTATTGGTGACCAAGCAGCCTCAACTATCGTCGCTGTCGCTGAGGACGTCCTCCTCAAACTGCTGCTGCGGCACCTCGGTGCTGGGGCCGGCTGCAGCGGCACCGGCGGCAGCAGCGGCCGGCAACACTCCCCCGAGGGGTGGCGCTTGGACTGGGGCGGCCGATGCGTCGGCAGGCGTGTCGCGCGCGCCGCCGTCCACGCCGCCGGCTGCCGCCGGCGGGCTGGGTGCGCACGGTGGCACCCGCGGCCCAGGGAGCGCCGCCACGTTGCTTTCTCGCGCCTGTGGCGGCGGCGGCGGCGGCTGCGGCGGCGGTGGCTGCGGCGGCAACGGCGGCGGCGGCGGCATGGACGCGGCGGCGTTCGCCGCCGCCGCGGTCGCAGCGCTGCTGAGCGACTGCCCCCCAATCACGGGCGCCCTGGGCGGCAGCGGCAGAGGCTCCCGCCTCGCGCCTGGCCGCAGACGGTACCCCCATGCGGTGCTCAGCTGGTGTGCGGTCCGGTGCGGCAGCTTCTCCTTCTGGATGCGCTCCTGCACACACCAGTCGCGGGGAACCTCAGGCCACCTCTCAGAGCGGACTCCCAAGAGCTGACTCGTAAGAGCGGACTTCTCAGGTAGGTGGTTAAGCGTCGGGTAAAGGTGGGGGGGGGGGTTTCTTTGGTTCTCTCCAGTTCCCCGCTATGAAAATTATGTTTTTTTCCACAATTTCCTTTCTCTCGTGTATACCTTCTCCTCTTCTT